AAATTTAAAGATGAGCTAATTGGGACGGTCTGATCTGGCCTCATGCTCCAGCTGAGGATCTGCAGGGGCCACACCACCAGCTCAGCCGTCCCCACATCTGGCTGCAGCTGCCCTACCCCGCCTGCCCTCCAAATTCAGAAAGCATAATCATGGACACATTCTCCTCGGGGTCTATCATGTGCCCCACACTGCGGTACACCAGCGGGTGAGCCCGGGAGCCAGACAGGCCGAGTCCAAAGCCCCGTCTACCATTTCCTGTGACCTAAGGTCAAGCTCAGCACTCTCTAAGCGTCAGCTTTCCCATCGTACGAGAGTGCTCGCCTCACAGGTGACAGGCACTGCTCATCCTCTCCCCTCCCCAATATTCATTGGCTTAAAAAATATGTTCTGAGCACCTACTATGTGCCAGGTACTGAAGTCACAGCCGTGAACTGTCCAAAGTCCCTGCACTGGGACTTTGCCCTGGGGAGCTGATGTTCTAGAAAGGATGCAGTCAGTAAACAAGATGAACAAGTAAGATACACGGTTTATCAGACCATGGCAGCTCTACGGAGCTACAGGAGAGATGGGAAGGGTCGGCGGGGTGAGATACTCTGTGGAGCTGCTGGCTTCATGTCCAGTATTAGCCATTCATTTGGTTGCAAGTGGCAGGAATGCTCTCCTGAGCACCAAAAGCAAACGCTTGCTTCCTACCCGAGGCACAGAATGCACTCCAGGTGTGGCCGAGTCCAGGGACTTGAATTCTTCCTGGGAGATGCCATCTCACCCTGCCTCTAGGATCTGCTTCCTCCTCCTCAGGCAGGCTGATGGGCTCAGTCACCAGGCCAGGCCCATGCCCATCACACAGCGAGAGGAGGCAGCTAGGACCTCCAGGGAGGGGTCCTTTCAGGCAGAGAAGTGTGGTCTTACTCTGAGAAAGGGGGAAGGGGCCTGAAAAGGCTCCATAAAAATGGTGCCAGTTGAGATGAGCATGGAAGGATGAGATGGAGATGCCAGCTGGGTGGGGGAAGTGCATTCCAGGCAGAGGACAGCAGTGCAAAAGTATGCAAATTCCTGTAGTTTCCAAACTGTTGGGTGTTTGGTGGGAGCAGAAACAGACAAGTCCAGAGAGGTAGCCGGAGGCCAAACATGAAGAGCCCTGAATGCCAGACTGTTTTAGGCTCAGTCCCGCGGGCAGCAGAAGCTACGGAAGAATTTAAAGCAGGGAAGGGCCACAGTCCCATTTTCCTCCCTTGGTGATAAAATGGAAGGTGAATGGTGGCAAGGAGGAAAACTAGAGGCATCCGGAAGACCAGGGAGGAGCTGCTGTATCACCAGCCAGCACCAGACGGGTGGCCTGGGGAACCAAGTTGACAGGACTAAAATATGGAGGGTGAAGAGCGGGGACTGGGAAATTTCTGGTGTCTGATCCTGAGGATGTGCTACCAGCGGGGCTTCAGGCCAGGTATAAGGGAGG